CTAGATGCACTATTTCCAAAGCTTGAAATCTATTTCTTCTCATATCCATGCATCTTGATGTCAAGATGATCTATTTGAGGAATTTGGGCATCAAAATAACATCTTCTAGCGAAAGTTTTGAGGTTGGCTCTAATTTGATTGTTTAGAACCTCGGCTCCATATAAACTTTTTCCATATTTAAATATTATATATATATATATATATAATTTATTTAAATATTATTTAAATGTTATAATATTAAAATATATTAGTAATAATCATGACATTAAGTTAAAATTTGAATAATGCTTCATAATAATCATACTTATTAGTTAGAAGAAATATCCCCGTACCCTTTATTTTTTGTTTTCATATCTAAATAAAATTAAGAATTCAAAATATATCTTCTAACCCTCTCACTAACTTTACGTACTTTCAACTTTTTTTTAGCCCTAACAAATATAAAAAAAACACGCTCATTCTAAACCCTTCCTCTTTATATTCTCCAAAATTTATGTCTTTCACTCTCTTTCTTGAGATTCTCCCAAACCCTTTTTTTCTCTCTGTTTTTTTCCCTATTTTCTCTCTCTAGGTCTCTCACTCTATCTCTCTCTCTACCTCGTATTTTCCAAAACCCCTCTCTCTCAGATTGGGTTTCAAAAACAGGCACAATCTACATACAGTTAATCATCCATGTGAATAATATCTAACTAATCAATAGAAAAAAACATCCACAAAAATCAAGTAAATATACAATACAAAAAACCATGGAGAGAGTGAGAGTAGGAAAATAGGGAGAAAGAGAGTTTGGAGAAAGTCATGGAGAGAGAGATTTAAGAAAAAATGACGTGAAGAGAAATAAATGATGTTGTTTAGAAATGATATGTCTTTATTATATTTGTTTAGGGCAAAAAAATAGATTTAAAAGGGACAAAGTTAGCTTATGGGGTTATAGTATACAAGGCTTAAAATTTTACCCAATATATGTTTTGAAACCTTGGGTCTTTTGATATATAAAACTGAAAAATGAGGGGTATGAAGATATTCCTATTAGTTATTACTAATGAAACTGTAATTAACATCTTTATGATGAATGAATGATTACAATAAGTTTAATTAAGAGAAACTTGTAATAAAACGTTTCACCTTTTTTTTATTATCTAAATATAATTTATTATTGTTAATATACGCATACTTCAGGCATTTAGGATATCTACAAAAATTATATCCAAAAATAAGAGAATATATGTTGAATGGATAATTAAATTTTTGGGTAAAAATAGATAATTCAATTATATATATATATATATAATACTAATATGTAGATAATATCATATTATACTTAATAGATTTTTAATATTTTTAATATATTTAAATATAATTCTAATTATTGTTGTAATTAATATAATATTTAATACAATGTTTCAATTTGAAGAAAAAGAATTAATAGAATCACAATGATTAATTATAATCATGCTAATTATTATGACAAATAATATTACTTAACATATAATTGCAAAATTTCATTATTTTTGTGTAAACTTATATAACTGTCCTTGTCTGATTCAATACTAGTTAATTGTAACATTTAATAATAATTTAATATTGTTATGTAATTATCATAATTTTATTAATAATAAATAATTAAATAATAGAGAAATTTCGTATAGAACGTTAATTCTTCATATTATATTTCATGGTAGACCCTCTTTCCGGTTTTCTTTCAAGCGGCATAAGAAAACCCCTAAAAATTTCAACATACCCCATCATCTCTTGTCGCCCTCTTTTATTTCAACATACCCCATCATCTCTTATCCGCTCTTTTATTGACTTTTTATCATAAAAATTAAACCCAAAAATTTTTTTTATACCATTTCAACCAAAAAAACTTTTTTAATGAGTAGAAAGAGAAAACAAATGTTAAAACAGTTTTTAGGTTGAAATGGTATAAAAAGATTTGT